TGACAAAAGATCCACCTGAACGGGCTTGACAATTTAGAAAACAAACAAAAATGAGCAAGTAAAAGTCCTCTGTGCTTTTCACTGCCTAAAGATAACAAGTGCCTGGTCCATGTCTCTTAGCTGGTGCTTCGCACCTTTTCTCTAAGCATGCCTACACACAACATAATTATGCAGCTATAGAGAGAAATGTGTGTATGCACTGTGATTCCACTTTGAGTATTATTTTGTAATCTACTCTTTTCACTTAATATATTGGGGATTGGCAACTGTTACACAGTTCACCGAATTGATCCCCCCTTCCTGGACAGTTAAGCTATCTTAAACATCTTAGTGTTTTTCCTTTAAGTTTTTAAGTTCTTGACATTTGCTCTACGCACACAGATATAGGTAAGGAGGTGTGAGTTCCACAGCTCGCCACCACCAGCAGGACTGGCCTGCCACCCTGGCTGGGTGTCGGTGCCTCTCCTGGCCCGTGCTCCTCCTCCTGTGCCTGGGTTGTCTCCATTAGCATGCAGCTTTCTTGAGCTGCCAGCTGCTCTTCCCAGAGTGGAAGGTCCACGCAGGAAGCTCCCTGGGCGGAGGTGAGGAGGGTACTGCCCAGCCCAGCCCGGGAGGGAGCCCATCCCCCCCCCCCAGACAGACCCCTGAGAATCCCTGACCCCAGGCAGTATGTCTACGGCTAAAGAGCAGCAGACAGACAGGAGGGAGGGAGCAGCTCTGCACATCAGAGCAAATGTGCAATAACCATTTTCCAGAACACCACCCCAAATCCATCAGCAGCCCAACACCTGTGCCGCAGGTGTCTAGACTGATGGCTGCTCTTAGAGGTACAAGGGGGCCGGCTGGTTATGCAGGTTGCACAGAGTGTCCTGGTGGATTCTCACCTGGTGTTCCTGGAGAACTCATAATTAAGTCACGACCCAGTTGCAGTGAGGTTGGGAATGGAAGGCATTAATTGGGATGGAGCTCATTGTAACAGTGAGTCCCGGAGCAAGGTAACAAGGCTGGTGAGGTTGTGGAGAAAAGGGAGCCTTGTGCCCTTTGAGGGAATGCACATTAGCAGTTGTTATGAAAAACGGTACAGGACTTCTTTAAAAATTAAAACTAGGACTATTGTGCCATCCAGCAATTCTCCTCCTGAGATACATCCAAAGGAAACACAATCAGTCTGTTGACCTGCACGGCTGTGTTTATTGCAGCACTACCCACAATAGCCAAAAAAATGGAAGCAACTGGGTGTCCATCAAGAAAATGTGGTGCATACACACAGTGGAATACTATTCAGCCATAAAAAGGACTGGATCCCATCAGTTTTGATGGCTGGAACTGGAGGAACTGTTAAGGGACATAAGCCAGACACAGACTAATAAATACCACATGCTCTCATTAATGTGGGTAGTGCTGCAATAACCACAGCTCAGGAGACCCAGTCCTGCCTCCCACCTCCCACCTGTGGGGTCCCTGCCTGTGCTGCTGTCTGCACCCCACCACCGCCTGAGCCCCGCCACCCTTCAGATCCACAGCCCTTAGGCTCTTGCAGAAGCTGGAGCCTGACTGCGAATTGCACACTCAAGCGACCTCAACCTCCCGCTCCTTAGGAGACTAATCCAAATCCACTGCCCCTGCCCCTCTCCGGTCTGTGGGAAAACTGTCTTCCGGGAAATCTGTCTCTGGTGCCAGAGAGGTCGGGGGCCACTGCAGCTTATTAAGCCCAGGGTCTTGCGCTTCTATAACTGCAGCTGCGGGTGCTGCTCTGCCCCTTGCTCAGGAGGGTGCAGGGAGGACATGCGTGTAGGGACAGGAGGGGACAGGATCACAGAAGATCCTGCCTGCTGGGGCCAGTCACAAGGGTGTTCGAGGAAAACAGGAAGTCAGAGGGAAGAGACGACGTCACCCTAGTAGCTTCAAAGAGGAGGAAGGGGGCCACAAGCCAAGATAGGTAGGTGGCCTGTAAGAGACTCCAGAAGGAGCCAGCTTTATTGTTAGCCCCGGAGGGCTCATTTTGGCCTTCTGGTCTCCAGAGCTATAAGAAATAAATGTATGTTGCTTTCACCCACTGTTGGAAGTTTGCTACAGGGCAATAGGAAACTAATCCAGGCCCTAGACTTCCAGCACTGTCTTCTGCCCCAACTTGCCTGTCTATGCCCTACTGATACAGAGCCCTGGTCCCTGGTCCCTGGCAGTGCAGGGACGTTGGCCAGAGACAGTGCCCCTGTGGGAGAAGCTGGGTGTTTTTACTGCGTTACTGGGCTTTCCACTTAGAAGACCTTAGGTGTGGTGCAAGAATTGTGTCATAGCATATACGACTGACAGGATCAACCACTCGTGTCCCAGAATAAATGGCACTGCCTAACCTGTTATTCAGTGCCCTCTGCAGTCGAGCCCAACCCATAAAGACTGGTCCACATCCCAAGACCGAGAAAGCTAAGAGAGCTGTGCCCCAGTGAGTCCCCTGGAAACATCACGGCCCTTGCTCTGCCTTTTAGCTAGGCTCCTCCCTGGACACACGTTCCTTAGGATGTTCCTGCCATGCCACGTTTCAGCGTCTGCTTGAACACATCCAGCAACTGGGTGATCCCTGATGGTGCTATGGTGTGAATGTGGTTTATAGTTCGGGGGGACAGCTCAGTGGTACAAGCCTGCCTCGCTTGCATGAAGCCCTGAGTTCAATCTCCAGCCCTGGAAAGAAAATTCTGCAAAAATATCTCATCAGGTTTGAGTATGGTTTGTCCTCCCAGAAATGCATGTTGACCCATTAGGTGGAGCCTCCATGACTGAATACTGGTGGCTTTATAAGAAGACACACACACACACACACACACACACACACACACACACGGGCTCCCATCTCTCACCACCTGGTGCCCGCTGCTCCCTCAAGACTCCACAAGCAAGAAGGCCACCAACAGATGCGGCCTCTCAACCCTGGGCTCGAGGGACTCTGAGCTGAAACAAACCTCTTTGCTTTCTAAAGCATGTAGGGTGTAGTATTGTGATACTGGCTGCAGAAAATGTTCTGGGAGAGATGCTAAGTCCCTCCTTCGGGAGGCAAGCACAGGGTGTGAGGCTCAGCCAGGCTCTGCCCTCTGGGATGCCAGGAGCCTGCCTCTCCCTCCACCAGACGCCACCCCTCACCTGGCTGCTGCACGGCCAGCTGCAGCACATCAATGACCTGCCACGATGTCTAACCCAAGTCCCGACAGACATGGTCAAGCCTGTGACCCCCTTTACGGACTTCTCAGGTGGGCCCTAGAGGTCCTGCCAGCCAGACCTCCTCCTTCAAATGCTTTATTATTTTGCCTGCCTTTCTTCCCCTTGTGCCCAGGGCAATGGGGAGAATATGTGCTTTTCGACACACGACACATAAAACATACTAATAAATTCATTTACAAACACTGGGAAACCTACTGTTCGCTGAAGTGTTTTCTCCCCCTTACGGTACTGGGACTCCTCAAAGCCTCAGGGGTTCCCCAGTTCCTGAAGTGGGGGCCCTGTGAGTGCTGGGCCCTCAGTCTCCCAGAAAGGAGTCCCAGCAGGAACAGCTTCTTCCAAATCTCAGGGGTGACGTCATGCCTGACGGGCTGCTGTTGATTTCCTGTTACTATTTCTCACACCTCTGGGGCCCTCTCTACACACTATTTATGGAAGCGGATGCAGCCTGAGATTGCTGGTGTCCAGAGAAGTCCCTGAGCAGTGGGGCAGAACAGTGGCTGTCCTGGGAAGCGCCCGGAACAATCCCAGACACCTCAGCCCCAACAAGGCCTGTGTTTGGCAACGCGTGCTCGCGTTCACTGCGGATGAGCTTGGCTGCCTCCATGTCACAGCCCTTCCACAGGGACAGAAAAGGAGCATGTGTCAAGAGAGTCTGCCGGAGGATCTAGGCAGCGTCAGGAAAAAGCGACTGTTAGCGATGTTTGGAATTTCTTGGTAGTTTTCGTTCACCTCGTAAACAGGCACTCACGTAAGAGCATGTAAGGATGCATGTGTCGTGTGTACCAGTGTGTCCTGTGAGAACGGTGTGCCGTGGGGGTGCAGGCTGGGTCTGCTGGCTGAGACCCAAGGCGGCACCTGTAGCCTCCCGCCACAGGCAGGCACAGGCCAAGGCCCAGGCTGCATTAGCCACCGCCCCTGCTGGCTCACACCCTGCCTCTGGGGACACCAAGGAGCGGTCAGTGATCACAGGGGCTGGGGCTCCAGCGTCAGGGCCTTCCAGTCCCCATACACCAGGCCTGTCCCTGTGGCTGTGCGCTTTGGAGCCAGTGTCCAGGGTCAACTGCAGACGCTGCCGTTGGTAGAAATGGGCATTTTTCTGGACCCCAGGCAGAGGGTTTGGAGATGTGGCTGCTGCCCAGGGAGAGGAACTGTGGGCACTTCTGGAGACTGCTATAGCCTGGATCTAAAGTGTGCCCCGAAGGTGCCTGAGGTAAAGGCTCACTACTGGGAGGTGGGGGGGGCTCCTGGGGGCGGGCGCCCTGGAGAGGACAGAAGGACCCAGTCCTCCTCTCCTTTTTCACTGTGCGGCCACGCCATGAACAGCTCCGCTCCCTCTGCCGCTCAGTCTCTCAGTGATGTCACCACAATGCAGGCCTAAAAGCAACAGGGCCAACTAACCCAGGGACTGGAACCTCTGGAGCCGTGAGCAAAACATGCTTTTCTTTCTCAGGCTGACGACTTCCAGTGTTCCTTAGAGTGAGAGCCAACACAGGGGAGTAAGGGAAAGCTCTACGCTCTTCGGAGGAACCTGTGGTCACCACCTCCCCCTGCTCCTTTGTCCTAGGACTGTGAAGAGCTGAAATGGGCCCTGGCAGGCAGAGGGGAGAGCCAGGAGAGGCCCCCAGTTCCGCAGCCAGTCTTCCCGGCGAGGCCAGGCAAGCTCCAGACCTGAGTTTCTCCCTCTCAGTTAATTCCATGCTGAGGTTCACTTCCATTTCAGCTGCTTCCCCTCCCAGAGCCTCTCTGCAGGACATGCCTTTCAAAGGAACCAGCTCAGGCAAGTAAAATAATGAATCATAAACTTTATTTCAAAATGTAAACGTCACTAAACATGCATACATGTTAAAACAATAAAATTTACAATTCCGTTAATTTTTTTCTTTTTGCATAGGACATCATTACAATATAGAATCTATGCCTTACAAAATACATACAAAGTTTTCTTTCAGCAAGCCAAGGCCAGATTGGGAACTGTACAACTGTAATACTTCACTGCAGTGATCCAGGGAAGATGAAATGTGGCCATTGGAAGCATGGTGGGGAGCTGGTTAAAAAGAAAAGAAAGAAGTTCCTACAGCAAAGGAAAACATGAACTTGATGGAAATGGTCTTGGACCCTAGGATTCTGCCTTGGGATTTTGGCAAAGGATTCCAGAGAAGCTCCATCAATGGTTTTGGATGGGAAGGGGTTGCCTGGGTATAACAAACACAACCACAACTGCAAAACCCCAGAGCTGCGCAAGCCCTGAACCGGACCATGCCGTCACCCAGCAGAGCCCGATGCTGACACCGATGTGCTCCCCAGCACTGGGCACCTGCGGCCTCAACAGGTGAGGCGGGAAACAGTCTCCCGTTCACACGCTCAGAGGCAAGCAGGAGCAGCCCCGGGGTCATGACACCCCTTGGTGTCTGAGCCACGCTGGAAAGTGGTCCCTTCTCCTTGGGGTGTCTGGCAATCCCTAGGGAGGAATCCTCCAAGAACAGGCTGTGGGCTCTGGGATGGACCACCTGACCCGCGGTGGCCTCCTCGGAGACATTCAGCTCACACATGAGGCTTCCAAAGCCGTGCACAGCAGCCTGTCCACAAGTGCCCTAGGAAGACATCGGGAGGACCAGGGCCCCAAAGCCCCAAGGAGCTGCACACGAGCACCTCCAATGCACAATCAGGGCAGGGGAGGCTGCTTCTCTCCTCTTTGTTTTTAAATAAAGTAGTAAAGTTTTAAAGCTGAGTGAGAACAGGAGAGGCTGGGCAGGACCGGGTAGCTGCACACCAAGTCTGGCAGCTCAGCAGGGGTCAGCAGACACCAAGGGTGGCCTCCCTTCCCGTGGACCCCGGGAACGCGCAAGTCCACTCTTCTGAGTGACAAGGGCCAGGCTAGCCGGCAGGAGGGAGGCCCCTGCCCCAGTGGCGCTCAGGCGTTACTCAGTAGGAAGCTGGATTGTGCATCTAAATTCGGGTACAAAATTCTCTGGAATGTGTCCAGGACCAACCCTGGAAAGCTCCCGAATTAGGAAAGTTAGTCAGAGGATCTGGACCTTCCTGTGCCATCCTGATTTCAAAACCCTGCAGCCCATGTCTGGATTCCAGCTTTGAAAGATAGGGTCACCAAGAGTCACATGCGGAAAAACTGGGCAGCGAAAGGTGTGGGTGACCAACAAAGCACTTCTCACCGATCGTGCTGTGACCAACACTTCAAGCCTTAAAACCTTCCAGCCCTGTGCCTCTGACTGAATGACCTTTTAAAAATGGGTTAAAAAAATTCAGTGACACCTGTCAGAAGTCAAAATAATCAGGTTGCCTTGTAAACAAAGCCACAGCCAGGAGCTGAGGAACGAGGCCACGCTAGTGCTCAGATCCTTTCTTCCTGGCGGGCACATGCTGCCCAGCAGAGGTCCTGCACAAGGTCCCCGGAAGTGCAATGGCCCTGTGCAGTCCATCTTAGCACCTTCTCACAAGAAAGAGGCTGGGTCTTCTGGACACACTGGGCCTGGGGCACTGCCACGCCTTACTTCGGACCCCAACCAGCCACCAGCCCTGTCTGTGTGTCCCACCCTCACTGCCGTCACTGGTCTGGGCCACTGCCCGGGCACAGGGAGGTCTGGAGTCACCAGTGTGTAGATGTCTGCACCTGGAGACTACACCGTGGCAAGTCCCACACCTGCCCCTATGCAGGGGCTAATAAATTCGAGGGTGGGATGGGGATCTTGTACCTCAAGTCTCATGGGTGGGGATGTGGCAGGGTGCAGTTAGGGCACCTCCAGGACACCATGCTCCCAGCAAGGGCACCTCGCCCATCACTACATAGCACCCATCGAGAGGACACCCCCCCCCCCCGTGGCAGGGGCTGTGTCCATCTGCGTGTCTGTATGGCTGTAGGACTCAGGAGGCATTCGGGGAGCTGACAACTGTTCCCCTGATATGGCTGACACCAGGAAGGGTTTTCCTGTCCAGGACACCAGCTGATCCAGAATCGCTCTGAGATCTTCGTAGGGAATCTCTTCCTCCACTTAGGCACCCTTCATTTGGAGATTTCTGCCTCCTCTGCCTCTGTGGCCCCTTAAGAATTGAAGCCTGCCCCCAAATAAAGGTTTGATTTTTTTCACTGATTTCTAGGAGCCCCTTCAGTTCCTTAACCCCACTGAAAGCAGCAAGCCTACTCATAAATCACACAAAGGCCCTGAAACAGACCCAGGCTGGGAAGACACGACACTCAGAAGGCAACCCTGTGTCAAGATGAGATGGAAACCGGCTCATGAGAAACCTTCTGAACAGTCCCCCCGGCCCCCGAGATGAGATGAATTTAAACCCCAGATGGCTCAGGAGGGTCCAGCCAGATGCCCAGAGGACTCCCTCCAGGTACCCTGTCCCCATTTCCCAGGCCAGGCTGAGGCTGAAGGACCACACCCTGCCATTAAGGAGAACCACTTTGGGAGTGAAGACACACTCATCTGCCAAAAATAGCCAATGCCTGCATATTTCTGTTTTAAGGCAATGTTACCCTTCCATCTATCAGACGGAACAGCCCTGGGTCGTTCAGAGGAAAAATTAAATTAAGTGCTCTCTTTGGAAACAGCCTATGCCCACTTCCCCTCCCCCACCCCACCCCACTCTAAAACAAACCAGCTCTTTCTTTTATTCCAAGATGACTGGGTTTAGAGTCCTTTTTCCCCTCTTCCCGTGTGGAGACAGATATGGAATTTGAAAACCTCCTCCTGTGACACTGGGCAGATCACAAGGAGATGCCCGGCTCCTCCTGTAGGGAGACACATTCTCCCTCTTCTGCCTTCACAATCATAGATATGGGGGCACCAAAGGACTTTGGAATAAAATTCCTGAACCTGGAATGTGAATTCCTGAGACATGAAATGTGTTCAGAGGGTGGCTTTCTCCGCCTCACACAGAAACAGCTTTGGGAGGGACCTCACTTTGGAACCAACTGGGCATGAAGATCGTCATACCCCAAGCACCCAGGGCTCTCTCTCTTCATCAAGATCCCTACCACATAATCTCCTCCCTCTCCCGCACCAAAAGCAAGCTGGGCTGCCACCGGGGCCCCAAAGCACCAGGACGGCCAGCTCTGCATCCAACCAGACAGCCCTGCCCACCCATCCCCACCCACAGCAGACCAACGCCACAGCCTAGCTCAGTACCCACCACTCTAGAAGCAGAAGCCACAACATGCCATTCGCCACTCCCAGCTGCACAGTCGAGCACAATGGGCACCCACAGCACCAGAGGGCACACTGCCAACTGTGCAGCTGCTGCAGATGGATGGCACCCGTCTTCTGGAGCTGGCTCCACACGGCAGCCAGGGCCACCAACCCTGGCTGAGCGTGGGCCCCCAGGTTTCTCTGTGCAGCACCCCACACCATGTGAGGGGTGGGGTGGAAGTGGCATGGCTACAACCAAGGCACTCTGGACCCAGAAGCCCATGCGAGGCCCTGAGTCCCCAGGGTCATTCTTCCTCAGCAAAGTGAGAAGTCTCTGCAAGACACCCAGTCCTTCCCTGTAACACATGTGTGCGCGCACACACACACGCACACACACACGTGCACGCACACACACACACACACGCACACACTGTTCCGCAGCCTTGCATTTGCAGGCCCTGACTCTCAGGAGGAATGGAAGGCGGTGCCCGGGTCTTGCAGAGCTAGGGTGGACACTCCAGGGGTCTGCAGAGCTCACTGGAGTGTAGCCTCCCTGCCCTGGGGCGACCTGCTCTCCAGCTGTCCGCTTCTCCTCTCCTACCAGGAGAGGTGCTGCCAGGCAAGGTGTGAAGCAGCCAGAGGAACAGGGAGGAGCAATCCAGGCGACAGCAAGAAGCTGGAGGTTTGCTAAGCCTGCACCGGGCACACTGAGGTCTGAGAAAAGTATTCTCCATGGCTGGAGTTCCCCGGGGAGGAAACAGAACTCACACTCTCCACAGCACTCCCCACAACGGTGTGGTGCAGCTCCTGCAGAGGGACAGGTCACAAGCTCTGGTCTCCTGCCACCAGCGGTCTGTGCGGTGCTGTCGGACTGACCAGGCGGCATCACGGGCTTGCTCAGGACTTCAAACAGAGGGGTGTCCACAGCCAGGCCAGCAGGAGAGATCAGGGAGTGGGCACACCCACACCACTCTCCGAAATCTTTTCCAAGGCCAGAATCCCCAGGCCGGACTTTCCAGTCGGAAAGCATAAAACAGCAGTGTGGGGTCCCCGTGTGCCATCTGCAGGGTAGCGGGGCCTGGGGGGTGGCGCCCAGGCCTTGTCTCTCGAGGTCTTAGGGCGCATCGGTCTGTTTCCAGTTCCCGAGGCCTGGGGAGAGGACGCGTGGAGAGGGGAGTGAGGCGGCAGGAGCAGACAGGCGACGCGGCCTCTCCACGGCTCCCAGGCGGAGGCGCGGCTTAAGGCATCCATCCCTCTACGGTGGCCCGTGTGTCCCAGGCCAGGCCCACGGGTGAGGACGGAGGCCTGGTGGTGGGCTGGAAGGAGACCAGGCCTCGCCACTAGCGTCCGTGACCACGTCTGCTCCCACAGCCTTTGACTGGCCCAGGACAGGACGCCGGTCAGCCCACTCCATCCCCCGCGTTCCCGAGCCTGGTGGAAAACTCCAGAGTGCAAATCTAAGTACAGAGTAAGGCGGCAGGAAGGGGACCTCGTGACCTCGTGGAACATGTCCATCCCTGAGTAAGGGTTCAACACCACTGAATCTCAGCTTCGTGGGATCACGATTTGTGCAATCTGTGGATGGCGTTTTTTTGTTTTTTTGAAAAATCATTTTTTTAAACAAACTGACATTGACACCTGAGGTGAAGAAGAGTGTTTTTTCATGGACTTTTCACCAAGTTACTCTGCTTTCCTAGTACAAAGGGAAAGGGCAGGGGCTGACGCGAGGAGAGGAGGGGAGGGCGGCTGCGCAGCCGCGCCGGGTCCAGGGTCCGGGGTCCTGGGCGCTGCAGCCACGCTCGGCGCTCAGGGTGAGCTGGCCGGGCTGATGGTCGGGCTGCTGGCATCCGAGCGGCTGTAGTCGCTGAGCGAGCCGGTCCGCGAGCCCCCGCCGCGCCGCTGCAGCATGCCCGGGTGGAAGTTGGCGTGGCGCCGCGCGTGCTTCGTCAGGTGGTCGCTGCGCATGAAGCGCTTCTCGCAGATGGGGCAGCTGAACTTCTTCTCACCCGTGTGAGTGCGGTAGTGCCGCGCGAGCTCGTCCGAGCGGGCGAACTTCTTGTTACAGTCCTGCCAGCTGCAGGCGAAGGGCCGCTCACCTGGGGGGAGAGGGGACGGGGGAGAGCATCAGTCCAGGCACTGCCCAGGATGCCCAGGCCTCCTGCGCCTGGCTCTTTCCTCCCCGGGGCCGCTTACCACCCTGCATCCCTCAACCACTGGCACTTCCCATCCACTGCATCCACATCCTGTCTCCGCCATCTCTGTAGCAAGTCCATCAAGGCAAAGGTGAGCTGGGCCTCGGCTTCCTGCACACCCCAAGGTGGAAGCAGACTGACGGCTTCCGGGATGCAGGTGAAGTGGCAGGAGCCAACGGGTGGGTATGGCCAAGCCTGCCGCCCAGAGCCCTGAGGATGATCAGACAAATCTCCAGCCTGGGCGCTCTGCCACAGTCCCGCCTCGCTAGTCTCTCTGGTCTGAAACACCAGGGGGTCACAGGAGACATTTTCCAGGGCCTGAGACTAGACCGCCCACCAGCCTGGTGCTCCTTTTCAGCCAGGTGCCCCAACGTGGCCAGCCAGCAAGGGCCACCAGAGGAGACCACACCTCCAACAGACCCCAGCACAGTGACTTGAAAACCCCACCAGGGGCCGAGGGGAGGTAGAGCGCAGTGGAGACGGAAGGTAAGGAAGACAGTCTGCAGTCAGGACCCCAGCCTCCTGGCCTCTCTCTCACGGGAGAGGCTAGCACTCACCCAAGTGAACTCTGAACCACAAAAAAGTGACATCAGCTGCTCAGGGAGAACCAGTGGGGGCTGTGGCACCCCAAAAGGCAGTCTTCCTAGCAGAGGCTGTGTCCCCACCCTTCCCACGTGGTCTTCCCCCTTCCTCACATGGGCTCCTAAAGCAGACTGCCAGTCCTTCCGGGTGGTCATCTATGCCCAGCAGAGGACAGCCACACTGCCCATCCACCTTAAATACAAACAGGCATTCAAGGATGGCCAGATGGACAAGGAAAACCAGCAGCACAGCAGGAAAAACAGAGCAGCAAAACCACCAACTCCAGAGGAAAAAGCGTGACAGGAAGAGACTATTAACCCCAAAATTCCAGTTCGTGTCCTCAGAGAATGAGACACAATTTGATGCTCAAAGCAAACAAGATACCATAAAAAGGAAGTTCAGAGGAACGAAAAATAGCATTTAGAAAATGAAAATATCATTGTTCAAACAAAAATTACATTTAAAAAGTTGCAAATATATGCAAGGAAATATTCCAGAAAATAGAACCCCCCCTTAAACAGTCCTAGGAAATACGTGAATGCCCCAGGATCCCGTCTCCTCCTCTTGCTGAAACACAGAGCCGAGCCTATGTAGCGTATCTGTATCTGGTCTCCTCACTAAGTCTCGCCCTCGAGGGAAGGGTATTGGCGGGGGAGGGCTTCAGAACCCAGGTAACCATCACTTCCCACATCTATCTGACAGTTAACACACAGGAAGGGCTAAAGATTGAAAGCCATATCGAACTAATCCAGGGAGTTCAGGAGGTGCAAGGTAAGAAAACAGAGAAAATGAAGTAGAATATAAGAAATTACCAAAGAAATAACAGGACAGTATCTACCAGAGTAAAAATTAAAGCAAAACAAAACTAAAATAAAAAACAGACTATGGTTAGGGGAAGGAAAGGTGGGCCTTGATGCAAGAATTTCTGCCAAGACAGAACATGGATTAAAGTGGGCGGGGATGTAGCTCAGTGGCACTGTGCCTGCCTCACAAGCACAAGATCCTGAGTTCGATCCTTGGCACCACAAAATAAATAAATAAATAAAAAGAACACAGAGTAAAAATAGTGATCTTAAAACTTAACAGAGAAGGAGGAGACAAACAAACGCCAGGTTATCTATGAGGGATCAAGTCTGGGCCAGACACCAGACTCCTCCTAAGTCATACTGTATGATTGAGAGCAGGGCATTGAGGAGATCTATGTTTACATTTCACATAGTCCATCAAAAAAAAAAAATGAAAGAAAGCCACAAAGCTAGAAGCATGAGTGAAAAGTGAAGGGAAATCTTAAGTCAAGGGCAAGGCAGGAGCCTGGAAGACCAGTGACCAGGCCTCACGGGAATAAAATTCCAGGAGGAAACTGACTGCATCACAAGGTGCAATAAACAGGCTGGATAAGCTTCAGGACATGGGAGGCACATTACGATTCCTTGTTTAAAAGAAAAAAGGAGGCAATGAGAAACTAGGAAAAACAGAAGACACGAGAAAACTGAGGGCCAATTAGAAGCACATGCAATGCAGGTGACTGTGTGCAGTCAGTGAAGAGCCCCGAGCCGAGCACTGCTGGAGCTTTGCATGCTGTGTTCTCTATCCTGCCAACAAGGCCAGGAGGTGGCAGGCAGGAGGGCATGGGATGTGCACAGGCCCGGCACACAGACCCAGACTTTACACAGTCCTGCTCATTAAGCCTTAACACAAGACGTCAAGATCCAAAGTCAACCTCACAGGACGGGCGTGGTGCTGCATGCCTGCAGTCCCAGTACTCGGGAAGCTGAGGGAGGAGGGTCATTTCCAGTTTGAGACCAGCCTGGGCTACAGAGCCCTCAGGACCACCCATTCTCCCCACCAAGCCTTGCAGATTTCAGGGAAAGTTAGAAAGATGCACAGTGTGTGTTCAAAGCAAGAGAAAGAGAGAAACAGGGTGAGAGTCACGAAGATAATAAAATACAACATGCATCGATTCACAGGGAGGTGGGATGGGGCAGGGAGGCAAAGCGTTGGATTTTACGGCAGGGAAACAACACACTAAATCTGATAAATGAAGGAATACCAATACAATCACACAGTTCCTTTATGGCAATAACCACCAAGCCAGCTAATGCCAGCAAGAGAACTGCAGGTTTCTGGAGAGTGAGCCGGAACTGGGAAGAGGATACTTTTGGTTGTAAGTTTTTCTCTTACAGAACTTTAAAAAAATTACATATACATCCCTTTAATAACAATGAAATAAACATTTAAACATAATTTTAAATATCTACCCCAACATTTCCTTAACCATGTTTAAAGAAATACTAGTATTGAGTATATTGCTAATTGATTCCAAGAGAAATTTTTTCCAACTGCCCCATGCTAGCTGTGCTCCTGTAGATTAACAATCCACATTCGTTGTTAAGATTGGAAAGGGGCGACACAGAAGGGCCCAGCATTAAACCTGCCAGGGGAGACCCTGTCTCCACCAGACATGGACTCTGTGGCCTCGTTGACAGACTCCTTAAGGCCTGCGGTGGGGGACAGAAGTCTCTGAAAAGGCGCGCCAGTCCGAACACCCAGACGCTGCGGAGAAGTCGACCTTATATGGAAGGAGTGTAATGTAACCGGGAGTACGGCTCTAGAGAGGAGATTGCAGGTGTGCAGAGGGGAGGGGAGGGGAAGGGAGGAAGGGAGG